TGAGTCTTTAATGTCTTCTTAAAAAGGTGTAAAGGGACTCTGCAGACCAAATAGAGTCTGGTCATTGATTCCAGCACCAGGGGGGACGACAGAGGAGAAGAGTCTAGTGAGTGCCTGAGGTTCCTGTTGTGAAGGTGAGGTCACTTCCTGTAGTGGGTGAGAGAGATCAGTTCAGGTAAGGAGTACCAGTTTTTGGAGCTGTTTTGGAAGAACATCAGGGGTTTGAATTTGATGCAATCCCTCCATTAAAGTTTACTCTTACCGCACAACATTTAAATGTAATTAAACAGAATAAAAGGTAAATGGACTTGAGCTTATTTAGTCTTCTGACCACTCAAAGCGCTTTTACACCACATGTCACAGCTACTCATTCACACACTGATGGCATAGGTTGCTATATCAGAAGTAACTATTCCCATTCATAGCTGCCAACGAAGCAGCGAGAGCAATTCAGTATTTGAGTATGCCAAGGACACACCGGACATGCGGCTGCAGGAGCTGGGGTTTCGAACCCTTAATCTTCAGGTTGAGAGACGATGACGCTATCAACTGAGCCTCAGCGGCCCCAGCCTATATTTGGTTGTGGAGTAGTCTAACATTTTGGGGAACACACCTGTTTCAGCAGTGTCATCAATCTATATTTTGAATACACCTCCATAAACTGGATCAATCTAAATTCATAAGTGCATCGATCGGCGATCTACTGTAGGTCCAAATTTGATGTCACTTAAGCCAATTACAAAGAGAAAATAATAAGAGTACACACTAAAGATGGGAAGAAATACAAAGTACAACAAGAATCAAACATGTATTGAAAAAGATGAAAGCAAAGTTATGAAATAAGCTCACGTAGATTTCAGCAGCAGCAGTGTCAAATTTACATCTGGCAATTTAACTCGACTTGCAATAATGACTCAATGAGAAGTCATTTGATTCTGTCTTTGCTTTTAAAATAACTGTACAGTATAGCTATGCAGTATATAGCTGACTACGAGCTGAATCCAAAGGGGGGTGCCGCTGTAATCTGAGCGGCTCCAGCGCTGATGAGAATTTGATCAACGTAAAGCTGTAATAAATTGGTACAAAATGCGTACATGTCACTATGAATTCAGTGAGGATCTGGTTGTAACTGCAGAGCGAGGCTCTGAACTTCTGCAGAAACGAGTTTTATTCAGAGAGCAGACTAAAACACGCCTTATAATTTTCCCCTTGTTTGGCTTCTTTTTCCAGTTCCCATAAGTCAAAAATAGCCTGTATTATTTTCATTGTGGCTTTGAACTCCCCACAGCAGTTAAAGTCCCATATGTTAGCTATTTAGGAATTGTGTATTTTCTCTCCCTCAAGGAGTTGAACTTTTTTGTCTTTTTTTAGGGGTTCAGCTCTATGTTTGGTACCCGAAAACATTGTTTTAGATCTAGAGGATCATTCGGTAGACTTCACAGTTCGCTCTGTGTTAAGATGGGAAAACACATGGCTACGCTTTGCTCTTGAGCTCATAGTATCTTGAGTTACAGGAAGCTGTATAAACGGGCTGGCAGGTGCATGGCGGTAACTGGGTGGTCAGCCCCAAAGCGGGCATTTGAAAAACACAAAGAGCTGCTGTGCTGGAGTTCTTGTTGTTTCAGGTACGGATGAAATGAAGAAATACAAATGAGGAAGTCCGTGTTTGAGTCATATATGCATGCGAGTCTGCCAGACGCCAGACGCTGGACAGCGGTTTATAATACCATCAGAGGGGATTTTACAAACGCTCAAGGATTTCATAACAAGTCATCACAAAGACGAAAAAATCTGGATCAAGCTCTGCAACGTAAAGTCCATTTCTGCGGCCAAAAATATAATCTAAATCCTTTTTCCAGCATTAAACGTCATCAAGTAACACTCGTTAATATCTCACCCTAATAGAACTTAACTTCAGGTGTGACACGCTATCCAATAGGTGTAACAAATAGATTGGTTTCACTCGTTAACCTGCTTGATCTCACACATTTCAGGCTGCAGAATCATGAACATGGGTATGATTGCTATCCATAATAAACCAAGAGAAAGTGCGCTCCAATAACTCAATGTCAGAAATAGAATTACCGGTACACAGTGGACTCCATCCAGCTGACTGCAAACAAGATAAAGACTCATGATGCTGCTGAATCAAATTCTGTTTAAAGGACATTAGTCCGTCATTTCTTGAAAAGCTGGCGATGTTCCCTTCCGGTATTTGTTACTAACCTCAGAAATGTAATTATCATTGAGCTGGAACAGGAACTGGAAATCAATAAGTGTAATTAAATTGCTCAGCCTTCAGACTAGTGCGATACTGTCATTACCCTTTTAATAAACCCTGGGCCTATCAAATAATGTGATCCATTTCTTTGAATTCCTGCCCCTATTGAAACAGGGGCAGAGCTGAAGCACAGTTGTCTAATTATCTCCCTCTGGGTTCGGTTCACTTTCCCTCCATATGAGGTGCACTGAATTGTGAGGGCGTCAAGAATATTCTGGCAGGACCATGAATCATATAGAAAAGAGGTCTTATAGGTGCCACACCGCCCTCTACACTGCCGATATACTGACAGTGACACCCTGACAGTGTTTGGGTGGAAAAAGGTGGGAAGAAATGCAGTTCATATGAAAATACTCAAAAATAAAATACTCAAAAATTTGTGTTGAGCTGCATACAGCTTCGTTTGAAAAGCTTTGTGAGTATTTTCAAGTCAAATATCTGAAAGTTTACACACATAATGTAACATATGGTGCTGCAGGATGGTTTGGTTTTGGTTCCCTTCACAAAAAAGAACATAATTTTCCATCAAAATTTGAAATACTGCAGAAAACAAGCCCCGTGGGAAACACACTGTTATACTTTTCTTTTGCAACTGAACACCACTTAAGCAACACAAAAAGCAAAAAGCCAACACCACTAAAGAAACAAAACTGCTGATCATCTTTAGAAGCCAAAGGAATATTTGTAGCCTCCTTCATCCAGCTTTACACATCAGCCTTTCTTCAGACATGTAAAACCATTGAAACCTACAAGCAGGATGCACAGGTTTGATTTCACCGCAGACCTTATTGTAGGAATCAAAGAAAACTCCAGAATGCACAAACCATTTTAGACCCTCGTTTCTGTTGAATTTAATTCAATCCTGACCCATATTCAAGCCAGGTCAATAGTGCTGACAGAGTTAAACATACCACAGAGAACAGTGTGTCCACTAGAGGGTACTGACAACTTCATTTATCAACTTTATAATGTCAGTATCCTTTTAAATAACAACATATTTTGGTCATAATGTCTTTATTAAAGTATCTGAGGGGCTTAATTGTTCAGTGTTAAGTGTAAATGTTAGACTGCAGCTGAACACAGAGAATAAATAGACAGAGGAACACTCTGGATGTTTAGATAATGCAGGTGGAATTGTGAAATCAAAACGTGTGGTTAGAATCATTATTATGTTTGCAGTAAATAGTGAATTAACCTTTTCTATTATTAAAGTATATTTTCCCCTCACTGAGGACCCCTGGGGGTCCTCGAAATCCACTTGCAGCCCACAGTAGCAGTCTATAGAAAGAGGAGCAGATGCAGTGAGGGAAGGAGGATGTGAAGAGCAGAGGGGGTGGGGGTTTATGGGGGAGAAAGGGGTCCCCTCCCGCTCTATAGGCTCCAACTATGGGACCTCTTGGATTGGAGTCTATTGTATACACTGAATGACTATTCAGTCGTCTTCAATGGATGACGACGACTCCCCCCCCCCCCTAAAATTAAATACTCTGAACAAATGTCAACATCATTTTGCGCCAAAAAATAAGAGAAGAAGTTAGAAAACTCCAAGATATAAAACAGAAGAGAAACAGAGAGCATAATGTGACACAAAGGAGGTCAAAGGCTGGTAACCCAGATGAACACACTGCTGTTAAACGCGAAAAATCCCTCCTTGACACGTCCGCGCAGAATTCTGTTTGTGTGCCAGAAATCCGATGATGACTAGGGTGGAAACACATCTCATCATCCGACCCCCACGAGTAGTCTTCAAGTATGTGCTTCAGAGCCACACACACACACACACACACACACACTCAAAAAAAAAAATTCATCCTAATGAACGTGTTTAAATCTGTTTGCTTTTTTTGTGGACCGAAACAAAGCATCCCCGAGGAGAGCCGAGCGACGCTCCGCACACACACTCCATCCTCGGTGCGTCACGGACTGCCCCAAGCACCAAGTGAGAAACCACAGAGGGGGGGGACTCCGCTTCTCTACATGTGAACATATGGCGATAAGTTAAAGGTTATGCGACAGCGTTTTTATATTCGAAAACAGTGGCTTACAAGCAGAAAGTGGGGGAATAAACAATATGCGACGAGTGAGAGAGAGGAGGAGGAGGAGGAGGGGGGGAGGCTACGAAAGCGTCCCTGAATCACAAGTCCTCATCTCCGCCAGCATCCACTAAACCTTTAGCTTCAGAAATGAACTCATAAGTCACACAAAGACTGCAGCAGCACGTGTGGATACTAATTCCCCATCGAAATGTCATAAACACACACTTTTCTTTGACTCCGTAACCGGACCGGTGATGGCACAGCAGTGCGCGGACATATTCAAAAATTGCACAGATTCAAAGCGACTGCTGGGAGGTGAAACTCTCGGGGATAAAAAAAGAAAAGAAAGAAAAAACACCCTGAAACTAGATTTAAAAAAAATGCGTGCAGACTGATATCTTATTTCACGCTTCACTCGGCTCACAGAGCGGCCAAATCTCTGACTTCTTGCAGAAACTTTTGGTACAAAACGTGGTGGATTCTGCAGAGCACCCAGCTCTCTGGTCCGGAGTCAGTGTGGCAGTGGATGCCGCTTGCGGGACCAGAGAGGATGCTGCTCCAGAAATCAACACAGCTCGGCCTGCATTTTTTTTTTTTCTTTTCACATTTTGCACCGACCACAGCCTTGGAAAATTAATCTCCAACATAACCTCGTATGAATGATAAATAAGTCAGCGTCTTACCTGCAAAGCCAATGAATAGCAATCCCCAGATGAGGTCCCTTATTTGAAGCATTGTAATGTGTCACAGATATTCTCCTTGAAGACGCACTTTAAACAAGCGAGGTGTCTCTACTGAAGAGGGGATGAAACAGATATCAGGTTGTTTTTTGTTTTGTTTTTTTCCCCCAAGGAACAACAATCTGCTACCGGACGGAATTTTGGTCCTTGTCGCTACCCGTGTTCGCGGCACAATGAGTGACAAGCAGGAGCAGCCGTAGCACGCACTCGCACACACACACACACATGCACTCAATAGATAGGCTACCAGCGCGAATTACTCCGCCCGGTAGGCTATAGGCTGCACACACACACGCACACACACTCGGAGACACACACACACACACACACACACACACACTCGGAGACACACACATACATAACACCGAGGGGGCGGTGCTGAGGTGATGCAGTAACAAAGTAGTGCGCGGAGCTGACACAGTGTGTGTAGACAGCAGATGGTCACCAGAGGCTCTAACTGGGATTACTGGGCTTACACACCAAACCAGCTCACACTGTTTTTAGAAACGATGTGTGGACTAATTAAAGCTTTGATTCATATAAAATGATAAAGAAAAATAAGTCAATAAGGTAATTAAAATAGACTTAGCCCCATGGTGAATTTTTTTTTTCACTTTTAACTCACTTTTATTGAATTCAAAACACATAATCTTAATTAAATAAATAAATAATAATTATTAATAAATCAAAGTAATGTCACATTTTATTTCCAGTAGTTTAAAGCAAGTTTCCTTTTCTAAAAAAAAAAAAAAAAAAGGTATTTTTGATTAATTGGTCTGAGTCTGATTTCATACAATTTATAAGCTAGAGCTTTTTGGTTGGCTACCTTAAAGGCTCGACTTTTTAATAAAAAATGTCAAATTGAAAAAGGAACATAACATCACAGACTGTCATGCAAGGTCTTTCTTTGAATACTGTTCCAACTCTAGCTTAAACTAACTAGCTATATCTGACAGTAATAGTAAGTGACAGCCTAATTTACTACGTTATGGAGTTTATAATCAGCTGCTGATTTCCAGAAGTATTTTTTAAATGCATTGCTTATTTTAACTGTCAAACTGCAAAAACCTCTTCGACCATAAACTAATATCGCCAACTTGCTACCAAGAGTTAGCTTGTAGCCTATAGTTAAAACTCTTCACTACGGCATTAGCATTCACTTGAAGTGGTGTTGTTTGTGCCCCGTTGTTTGGTTTGTTTTGGTCCCTTACTATTGAGTAAACGTGTCCTCAGCATTTTTAGCTTTAAAGGTCCCATATTATGCTTTTTCTGGTTTTATATGCTCTTTAGTGTGTTTTCCAAGTGTCCTGTGCATGTTTAGGCTCATCTATGTGCAAAAATTCAAAGTCCGCAGAAACGCGGCTTCTCCTACGTCCTCCTGTTAGCTGTAGCATTAGCCGCATGTAACGCTCGGTTCTAGCCCCCCTCGATAAAAATGTGTCAGTGCGACGTCATTGTCAGTGTGAGATCACTGATCTAAGCCCATTGGCTCGTTGTGGCCCAGCAGCTCATGCACGCCCGTTAACTTCTGTAGCACGCCCACGATATGCCGTAGCCTGCGGTAGCACAGTAGTGCTAAGGTGCTAATGTTTATGCTCCCCTCGGACGGAGCCAGTGGCTGCATTCCCAATATGGTAAAAGAGGCGGGACATTTCCGAGAAGCGTGCTGAGCTTCTGACCAATAACGACAGAGCGGATCAGCAGACCAATCAGAGCAGACTTGGCCCACGTGGGGTCTAACAGTGTGGGCTCAACAGAGTGTAGCTGACGGACTCAGAGCGGAGAGGGAGCAAGGAGGAGCAGTTCATGAAAACAGACACTTTTTTCAGACTTTATCTATTGTGAACGTACAAAAGTAGATACATAGATTAAATATACGAACCCCAAAAAGGGCAGAATATGGGCTCTTTAAAGTAGAAACTAGCTACAGTACCTGGTTGCTAACTCTGAAACTTTCCACCTGCTTCTCTTCTGTTAGCCAGCTAGCTTCTCCAGTCTAAAACTAGCCTATGAAATAAATCACCACAGCTATTACTTTGATCCAAAGAACGAAAATGCTGCAGATTTAAGAAGGTGGTATAGGAACACCCTTAAATCAGAAGAAGCAGTGAAGCTTTGACAAGTAGCCAACACTAATAGAAACGAACACTAGACTACTTCATAAAAACATTCAGCCGATCTGTGTAAAATATGTGAGGGAGCCACTCAATTTTAAAGTCAGTCCAACCACATATTAGCATTTTAAAAGTTAAACTTTGGAGCTTCTTTCACGGCTGTTACTCTACAATCAATTTGCATCTCAGCCAGTGTTGTGAATTACACGGTTCAAACTTCAAAAGTCTGAAAGCTTTTTTTTTTTTTGCTAAGATCAATAGAAACAGATGGTGTTTGCCAACCTGGGTCACTGTTCCTCTGTTTGCTGTCCGCTCCTTGCGGTCCATTTTGTTAAGTGACTCTTCCTGGAATATATAACCTCTAATTATCTCCAAACTTACATTGATATTTTTTCAGTTTCACCTATTTAAACTTAACCAACAAACACATGAGCAGTATGTCATAACTGACCACATTTGTGTTCATTGTCTGCAGCCACAGTTCCTCACCCTCCCACTAGATGCCCTCAGTGTGTTACTCTACCCTGCACACCTGTGGCTCGTTCCCTCATCAACCCTCCCTGCATCACCAGCTGCACCTTGTTAACTCCACCTCAGAGGTATTGTCTTAATACCACTGGGGAAAAATTCCATGCTTTGTTCAGCATAATATGCATTAACATCAGATGAGAGCTGTTAATGAAGTTAAATATAAATATTAAAAGGTACAGGTACGGTACAGCCTACATTGTAACTATATTAGGCACTTTAAAGATGGGGACATTTTCTAAATTCCTGATACTAAATCGAACAACTTGCTCTTAAAATCTGTGCCGTTATTTCCATGAGTGTTTCCTTAAATTAACTGTTTTATTTAAAGCAGCACAGCAAACTCTTTATTATTTCTATCTCTTTGTAATTTATCATTACAGATAAAACAACAAAATACTAGAAAAAAGGGTATAAAATAACTCAGCTAGCTGGTTCTCCAGTCAGTAATCTCTGCAAAACATGCAACAGAGTGTTAAAAAATGTCTGAGTAGAACCATAAACCAAGTTGATAATCAGAGAAGATGAGCTCAAATGTTAGTTTGAAGTAACCAGCAGGAGCAGTCAACCTGAGACACCTAGCATTAGGAGCTAACAGAACTTCTGTAGCTCACGTTAGCTGCTATAGGAAACACAGGCTAATACCTTCTCTGTATGAGAGAAAGCCACTCACTTTGACTAATTCAGTCTGACCTTGATTTAGTTTCAGCTGAACTTTTAAGATTCTCACACTGAAGTTACTCTTAATACTGCTTCACAGCCAGTGAGGTTAAAGAATAACATGGACCAACCTTTTTTTTAAACTGTGCACGCTGCATGCGAGAGTTTTATAGGGATTATCTTGGACTTAATCTAAACCCACTTATGTGTTCAGTAGGTTGCTCTATGGCCTACATTTAATGTAATTCAACTTCAGCAGCAGAAGTTTGTTTGCTCAACTCTAAATAATGACAGATATACGGTTACTGACCTGGGTCGTTACTTTTCTGATTAGCTTTCTACCGTCCACCATTTTGTTCAGGGAATCCTCTTGACTGTGTTGATGCTAAAGGTTCTTTGTTAATGTTCTTTTAGTTTGTTATGATAACTCTAACCTACTAGTTTCACTTAATTGAAGTTTGACAAAGAATCTGTACAAGCACTAGGATATGTGACTGAAAAAACTGATTAAAATGTTGTTGTTTTTTGTCACTTCTTTTTTTAATGGCGAGTGGCAACGAGCTTTAAAGTTGCATTACCGCCGCCTACTATGCTGGAGTGTGGGCCAGAATACCTATGACTATATACAAAAAAAAATACAATTACAAAATAATAATAATCATATTAAATTAATAAATAAATGATCAAAAGTTTGTGTCACTTTCTCACCTGTCCACCGGATGTCCTCATCATGTTCCTCTGCCCTGCTCACCTGGGGCTCACACCAACCAGCAGCACCTTCCTTCATTGACCCAGTCAGTATTGTTTGAACCACTGCGGAGAAGTCACTTGATTTCTTCAGTGATATTTTTTGTCATTAGATAAGAGAGGTCAGTGTGATTGATTGCTACACGCTTGTAAGTTGGGCTAAGTTTTAGCTTTCAGGTTCATTTGCAGTTTAGTTTTTTACGGTCATTTGACAAATTACAGATTGATATTAACTCCCTTTTGTATCCGTTTAAATTTTAACAAATCCTGTTAAAAATAGCTCTGTAGCTAAATGATCCACTATGCTTAAGTGTTTGCCTTTTTGTGCTGCACAGATAACCATCAGAAGGTTTATCAGAGGTTTTTTATTTGCAGAAAAACTGTTGCTGTGAAAAACAGGATTGCAGTTCAATAAAAGAAAATACCGAAATTACAAGAATCTCAAAGTCCCCTCCAGCCATGTCAAGAGATGTTCAAAAATACTTTCCTTAAAATATTCATGTGTCTGATGTGCTTTTAAGGCAAAAAAGAAAACACAAAATGACATCAACTCCTTCTCCCTCAGCGACAGATTCAGGCTCCTTAGATATGCATATTTTTATTTGGAAATTCTAACTCAACATCAAAAAATTGTTTACTGGAGACTAAAACATTATAAATGCCACTTGTTTAAGGCCTCATCCACACGGAGACAGGTAAACAGAGGTTTTCCTCCATTTCAAAAAAGAAACCCGTCCACACACGTTCAGTTCTCAAAAACGTCTTCATCCACATGCAAAGATTTTCTCTCCTTCCCTCAGCAATGACATTTTCATTTTTGAAGTTATCCCAACACCCAAAGTCTGACCTCCATAGTCCATTCAGGCGTCTCTGTACATAGTGGGAGAGCGACTGTGTATGTACAATATGTCTAGGTATGTAAAAAGTCCAGTTAGCAACGTTAACACCAGCACTAGTTTGATCACGTCTGCTATTGCACTAATCTATGCATGTAAAGAAAATAGGAGAAGCCTACTCCTAGTGTGATGTTACAAGCCCAAAATGCTGTTTTCCCTATATACACATAAACACCTTAAATGGAGATTCTGAAAATCTTCACCCTGGAAGGAGGTGTCCGTGGCCTTAATACGCCGTTTGAGTGTCTAAAAAGGGCAAAAGGCACAAAAAAACCTCCAAAAAACGTGTGTACTAGGGCTTTACTGCACATGAGAGCAGGATTAGACATGCATGTTGT